TGATAGGAGCAAAACTACCTTCCTTTTTAAGATTTCAGATTTCTACCCCCATAGTTTTAGCTGCAAAAATGTCGCAAAGATATGCTTTGACAAAGATAGTATTTTAAACCTGTCAATTTTTGTTGTCGTCGTCGTCGTTGTTGTTGTTGTTACCGGGGATCAAGCTCAGGATCTTACACTTGCCAGACAGGCACTGTGCCACTGAGTTACATCCCCAGTTCTTTCCTGTCAAATTTACAAATTAAGTTAAAAGTAAAAAAGGGAAGCAGTTTCACTTTCTGAGTGGAGTTGAATTCTCCCCCAGCAGTGGTTCTTGGAGCTGTCACTTGTGGGTGGAGAGAGGATGTTCCAGTCCCAGACAGCAGTTTGCACTGCTATACACTTCAGTCACAAAATCTAGTTTTGTTCTCTCTCAGCCCAGCTCAAGAAACAAAGCTACCATAGAGCGTGAAGAGCATGAGAGAGATTTTCAAGATTAGGTCCTCTGTCTTTAGTACTGTGGAGGACTTGAGTTAGCCATTGTATAAAATCAGGGTTTACCTACCAAAGGAACCCAGGGTCTGAGTTATTTCGGCTAACAAAACAAAATAGAAGGAGGCAAACAATATCCAAAACAGTTGAAAGGTCTCACCCCTCCTCAATGGACTGTAAACATTTCAAGGGCAGAATTCGTGAGATTTAGTCTCTGGGGTGTAAGTCTATTGTGTGTTTATAAAAGTTATGAGTCTTTGTAATAAAATGAATTTCCACGATTCCAATCCAAACTAATTTTAAAAACATAAAAGCTTCACCTACATGCTCACCCCTTAAATCCACTTTTCTTTACACACCCCAACCCCTGCAGGTAACTAGTCTTACGTTTTGCTTTGTTTTGTCTTGTTTTCCCTCACGCTCTGATTTTCTTTATACATGTACCACATACGTGGTTGTGGTTTATATCAAGAATGTCCTCCAAAGGCCTCACACAGTCATCGGCAGTGCTTTTGGAAGAGGATTGGACCATGACGTTCCTGTTGCTAACTTGCTGTTAGGAGATGGGGCCTTGTCTGGAGAGGCCTTTGCTGAAGATGTGACTTGAAAGGGCGTAGCTCCCTCCCCGCACCTCCCTTTTGCTCTGTGCTTCCTGGTTACCATGAGTTGGTCATCTTTTCTCTGCCTGTCCCTTCCACCATGTTGTTGGTCCTATGGAACCAGCCAACCATGGACTATAACCATGAGTTCCTTTTGTGAGTGTCAGGTACTATGTCTTAGAGACAAAAAAGTGGCTCAGACATATTTTGATCCAATAAACTGAATTACTGTATCAACAACATATTAAACATATTGTTTAATTTTGCCTTTTAACTTTAAAAAAGTCTCATACTAAATATTCTATTGTGACTTTTTAAAAAATGCATTTTTTATTGGTACATTTTATGTATAAATATGATGACATCATTGGGAATTTGTACCTGTATATGATATATCTTGGTTCTTTAAAAACTTAAGTGATTCAACTATATTGATTCCTCTAGCTGTAGTCTATGCATATTTACTTTTGTATTCTACTTTATAAATATACTACAGACTTACCCATACTTCTGCTATTAGACATTTGAGTTGTTTTCCTGTTACAAACAATGCTGCATTGAACATCTGGGGAGGACTTCCCTGAGCATACACCTATGCTCAAACTGAAAGAATAGTGTCAAATTGGTTCCCAACATGGTTGACCCCAGATATTTTCCTGCCAGGAGCATTTTAGTTTTCCTATATGACACATCCTTGTCAGCATGAATCCTCTTCAAACTTTTCAATTATTGTATACAAGCAGGTATCAAATGATATCTTCTTGTGAAGTCAGTCTTCACTCATTTTCTCTTCCCTCTCTCTCTTTTTTTTTTTTTTTTTTTTTTTTTTTGAGACAGGGTCTCACTATGTAGGCTATCCTTGAACTCACTGTGTAGCCTAGGCTGGCCTCGAAGTTGAGGTAATCTGCCTGCCTCATCCTCTCAAGTGCTAGGATTACAGGCATGCGCCACCTCACCTGGCTCATTTTCTCTTGTAAAATATACCTGTTTGTCTTTCATCCATTTTAAAAATATGCTGTTTCTTTTTCTTAAAGGTTTGTAAGAATTCAATAGTTTGAATCTTGCATTTTCTCACTTTTGTTAGTATTTATTGATAAAGAGAAATTCTCAATTTCAGTACAACCAAATTAATCATTTTTTAAAATCTAAGGTTATCTTCTTTTAGTTTTTTTTTTTTTTGGTGACTTTTTAATGAAACCCTTCCCTACCCTGAGGGCAAAACAGTCTCTTATGCTTCTTATTAAGAATATTAATGTTTTGTCTTTGATATTTAAGTGTTCCATTCATCTGGAATTTACTTTAGTTCATGATGTCATTTTTTACCCCAGCTTCACTTTTCTCCAAATGGGTAAGTTCTTTTCCCAGCACCATTTACTGAATCATCCCTCCTCTTGCCTTTTATCTGCAATGATAATTCTGTTGTATATTTTTCCTCTACACTCTAGTCAGCATAGGAGGAGTTGAGGCACACAAGAGTATTGAAGTATGTAAGCGTGTATGAGTAAGGAGGTCGAGGGCTGGGGATGTAGTTCAGTATTAGAGTGCTTGCCTACATGGAGAAGGAGACAGAGGAGGAAGAGGAGGATGAGGAGGAGAGGAATGGGGAGTGCAGGGGCCGAGAGAGGAGGAGGAGAAAGAGGAGGTGAAGAGGGCAGAGAAGGAGAAGAAAGAATATCAGACTGATTCTTATTTTAACATTTCTAATATTTTACTATTTAATACGGGTGCTTCACGTTTCTTCCTAGCTCTGTAAACAGGTTTTGTTTTTCTTTTTAATTCATGAATGAGAGTGGAATTTTATTGGATGCTTCTTCTGTGTCTGTTGGGATGGATATAGTTTCCCTTTTTTTACTGTCTTAATGTAGCCAATCACATCCATTGGCTGTCTTTTAAAACATACCCAGTTATCTCAAGATTATTTGTGCTCTCTGAAATATCTGTGTTTTATAACTTTTTGGCTTTTGTTCACTGGGAGGAATGTTGGCTCCTAGCCTCTTCCTGGCTCATATCTAGAAAATAGGAAGCGTTGGGTTTTTTTGTTTGTTTGTTTTAGAACACAGGATTTTCAATCAGGGAGACTTCAGTTTGAGTCAGATTTATCCACTTGGTAGCTGGTGAGAACATGTTATTTAACCTTTATGGTTGAGTATGGTGAGTATGACGCATGTTTTTCCTTTTTAAAAAGTATTTCTTTTAGCCAGGCATGGTGGCACACACATGTAATACCAGCTATTTGGGAAACTGAGGTAGGAGGATATCAAGTTTGAGGCCAGCCTGTAAAATTTATCAGGATCCAATCACAAAACCAAAATGAAATAAAATAAGACTGTGGACGTAACTCAGTGACAGAGGTCTTGCCTGGCGTGCATGAGACCCCAGGTTCAATTCCCAGTACCCTCCCCCAAAAGGGAATTTCCTTTTGTTAATGAGTGAAGTAAGATTTAAATTGCTGAAGGATTATGTAAGCAAAATTCTGACTTCTTACCTCCTTAGATCATTGAGCCCTTCAGATTTATAAGATATGCATGATGAATCATGGAGAAAACATTAGAGATCTTAGGAATAAAAGTAGTCAGGAGAACACAAATATGAGAAATATATATTTCTATGGGCAAGTCACAGAAAAGACTGATGGTGCCTTACTCATAGAAATATACTTGTGTTAAATTCCTGACAGTCATTTAGCTGAGCCACAATTTCAAATAGAAAACACAGCATGGACATCAGGCAGTTTGCCCATCAATACTAACAGAATCACTGGAGAATTAGGAAGATTTGAACCACCAAAGGGAATCTTCTGAACCACTCCTAATGTCTTCAGGCAATTGTGGTATTGAGTGGACAAAAAAACATGCACACAAACCTATCAATGGCATTTTATTACCAACTCCAAATGTATTTTGGGCTTTGGTACCTTCTACTGCCACTCCCTTTAGTCTTTGGATCTCAGTCAGGAAGGTTGAACAATGATGTCAATGTTTTTCTTCCTGCCATGGCTTTTTTTTTTTTTTTCAAGTTATTTTAAATTGGTAGATCCTAAATCAGCACTTGAAAAAAATTTCTCTTTAAGCTCAGTAATCCAGTATCTGCTAAGTCATCTTAATTTTCCTGAAGAGACTATTATTGGCTCGGGGATATGAGGCAAACTACACAGAACTGTAGAAGTATAACTGACTTTATTTGATATCCCACTAAGGACTTAATAATTAAGGAAATGGAGATAACTTTTCTGCAGAATTCATTTTCCCCTTGTGAAACAGAATTCTCATCTTCTTTCTACATAGCTTTGTAGGCTGAACTAACTGAATTATGCATTCTAACATGTTTGGTTTTAGCGATTTAAAAAAATCTTTTACTTCCCTTTCTACTTGGCAACCTTAGGAAACTGATAAAAACAAGTGCTGTAGCCCTGATAATATTGAAAGAAAGAAAGAAAGGAGGAAAGAAGGAAAGGAGGGAGGGTGGGAAGAAAGAAAGGTAGGCTCATATAGAGAACTGAATAACTTCTGTTATATATTTAACATAGAATATTGATAATTAAAATAATAAACTAGTTAAACATGTGTTGAAATGAAATGATCTACTGTTAAGGACAAAAAGCAAGGTGTAGAACAGTATGCGTAGTAGGGTCCCATTTATGCGTTGAAAGAGACATATATAACATACAGTATGCTTATACAGGCATTTTCTGGTAGGGTACATAAGTAGGTGATTATCATAGGTGTTACCTCTGGATCGTGGAACTGGAGTAAGGAAACGTTTTTCATTTTTATGCCCCTTAGTTTCTATGTAAAGGGTTTTCCATTTTTCATATATTGCTTTTACAATATATATTTTATAATATAAAAATTTATAATTATATTTTATAATAATATAAATGTAGTTAAAACTTACAATTGAATGATAACCTTTGCACTTTTTGGTGTTTAGCTTGTCCTCGGTTTTTGCATCTTTCTGCTTCCTTGGGCTCCACTTTCTCTCCGAGCAATCGCCATGCCCATACATGTTTATTCTGGACTTTTCCTCTTTGGAACAGTGATTGCAACAGTCTTGATGGGAGTGACAGAGAAGCTGATTTTTCTGTAAGTTGCACAGTCTTCCTAATCACATTATTTTAGCTTTAAAATTTTCAAACTTGTTCACTACAAAAATGTGCTTTAAATGAAGCAATATTTAATGTTAAAGAAATTTAGCTTTAACATAGCTATTTTTAAAATAATTATATCATACATGTAATATGGCATTACTAAAAGTTAGCAGGACTACTCACACAAAACACAAATTGAAATTATACATTACCTTTCAATCTTTGGTATGCATGTTTTTATATTATTTGTAATTATAGTATACATGCATTTTTGTTTTTTGTTTTTTTGTTGTTGTTTTTTTCTGGACTTTGCACTTGCGAAGCAGGCATCCCCAGCTACATCCATTTTTGTTTCATCTTCTTTTTCAGTTTTTAAGTGACACATGTGTTCCAAGTGCTATGTTAATTTCATAGTTAGGATTTTTAACAATTTTGTAATATCCCAGTGTATGAGTTATTGCATAATTTAAGTTTATTTTTAATATGAAGTGTTAAAGGAATTTACATTCAAGCTGTATTCCTAGATGAATTCAATACTGTGTTGCATGGTGTTATATCATCCTATTTGTAATGGATACAACTCTCTCTCTTTTTTTTTTTTCAGGCCAAATAATCTATACAGTTCATTCCCACCAGAAGGCATTTTTGCAAATACCCTTGGTCTTCTGATTTTGTTGTTTGGTGTCCTCATTTTTTGGATTGCCACCAGACCACAATGGAAACGTCCTAAAGAACCCGATTCCTCCATTCTGCAGTCAAGGGGAGGTGCTGTAGAGGGAATGGAAGGCACCTTAACAGTGAGCTTGGGTGGCAACATGGACAAATCCGATTCAGAGTTAAACAATGAAGTAGCAGCCAGGAAGAGAAACTTGGGCCTTGATGAGGCCGGCCAGAGGTCTACCATGTAAACTCTCATTGCACCATGTAACTTCAGATTTTAAAATGTAGCTATATAAATAAGTAGTCATACAGTTTAGCTTTTCCTGCTTAGTCATAAGATGACTGAGATACATGGTGTCAGTGTTTGTTGTAATCACCAAGGAGGATTTCTTGAAAGAGTCTGAATTGATTAAAGTCTGTGAACTTACCTGATTTGGAAAGGACATGATCGATATAAATAATACTAGATATAAATTGGGTTTATGTTCATCTTTCTTACTGAGGACAAAAGCATTATCACAGTGCCTTTCATGGAGCAGGTGTTCAAACTGTGTCTGTCAGTGGGTTGATTTGACAAACTAACAGCACCCCTGACCTCATGTCAATCATTTCCTATTAATTCTGGGAGCCTGGTGATTTCAGAACTAGGCAGAATCAGCCATAAAGTTTTAAAATCAGATCACCAATACTGGGGACAGGGTTTAGATAATTATCCTACACAAATATCACAACAGAAAAAAGTCTTTGGGAAAACCACTAGTTCCCTTTCTCTGTGGCAGACTTCTACTTCCTCCTCAGCTGGTTTGAGCTCAGATTGGCTCTGGATGCCAGGGTTTATATTAGGATATTTTGGAACAGTCCTTTGGTTCATCGATAGTTGAAGAGATCGTCTTTGGACAGACTGAAGATTTTCCAAAATTCAGCTTAGCCTCAAGACTTCCAAAGCTGGTGTACTTTACAGTCCAGATTCTAAACCTCTTAGTATGAAAATATGCCTGAATGCTTAAGCAACATACGTCACTCTCCAAAACTCAAAGAATAATTTTCCCGTAGTCTCTGTTTTTGTTTTTGTTTTTAATTAAAATACTTACCTGGCACTCTAGCTTCTGACTATACACTCTTCTAAGCTCTTTATAATTATCTCTCTCCACCTCTAGACAGACTTTCGGAGGTGGGTACTATCCCCATTTTGCAAGTGAGAGATCTTAAACTTGGAGTAATTGGTAAACCAACCCAGTGTCACACAGCTCATAAGCAATGGGACTGACATTCAAATACTGGCAGTCTGTCTCCTCAGTCCATGCTGCTAACCTTTTCACTCTGCTGCTTCTCTGATTTGTACTAATTTACATCACTTTTACTCACCCTTGGATAAATCTCAGTTGCTGGAGTGGGGTGGAATGGAGGTGTGAAGGAGGCTTTTCCCTTTGACTCTTCCAGTGAGACCTCCCAGGTAGCCCAGGAAAAGGAGTCTCCTACTCCTGGATATAGATCAAGGGTCCTCTGCCACCGCTGCAAGTCATAGCCTGCCTTGATGCCCAGTGAACCTTAACATTGTGTCTTGACAGAAGGATTTGGGAAAGCACATCTGCAGTTTTCAAGATTAAATAATTAATATTTGTCCTCTGGGATTTGGAAAGACAGTAGTGGGGATTAAACTGGGGCCTCCTACATGCTAGACAAATAGTCTGCCACTGAGCTACGACCCCAGCTCTTTAGGATCTTAGCTCCTGAACAACTTTGCAGCTGCAGAGACCTAGCTCATTTCCCTGGGGCTACAGCCAGCATGCTTCCTGACTTTCATCAAATTTTAAGGGACATTTTTAGCCATGGGTCCTTAGTGATTAATTAAGGCTTAGAGATGGTAACTTTTCTGGCATGGGAATCTCTGTCTAGGCTCTAAGCTGACACGAAACCTAGAGTAGCATCTATGCTGAAATGATGTGTTTGGGGCTTTGGTTGGTTTTCAGCTTCCATGCAATTTTATTTTATTTTTTAATTTTTATTTTGTGTTTGGTACCTGGGATCAAACACAGGTCCCTGCACTTGCAAAGCAGGCGGCAGAAACACTGAGCCAAATCCCCAGCCCTTCCATGCAATTTTAAACCGAAGCATTGAAAGTGGATGTGATGGCCAAGGCAAGAGGATCATTTGAGCTCAGAAATTTGAAGCCAACCTGGGCAACATAGTAAGACTCTATCTCTTAAAAACAACAACAACAAATAGAACACTGCAGCATTTTATTGTGCATAAGAACCTGACAGTTTGCACCAAATAGTTAACATTTTTGGGTGCTTCAAGGGCTTCCTTTTAGGTAATTGGCTATTATTTCCAGAGGCTGAATACATATCACACTCTATCATATCCCTTAAACTTTATCAAGAACCACTTAGGATTCCCTTATTGCAACACTGTTTGATTGTTTGTTTTTCTTATCTAATTAATTATATTTCCAAACGTGTTAATCATGTCAGAAGGATGCCAAGTGCCCAGCCCAAGACCAGGTGTCTAGCAGCACAATTACATTCAGTATGAATGTTAAGCGGTTGCTAAGTAGTTGCATGGTCACCTGCAAATATAGTTTGATAAATGGGTGTTTCATTGCATAGAAGTGCACAAGCTTCCATGGTTTCTTTGGGGTGAGAGGAAGATAGTGACTGAGTCTCAAGAATCGAGGCACCATGCCTTTTTTATGTAGGCCAAGAAAGAGGTTATCAGTGTAAAGCTAATTACTTGGCACTAGAATAGAACCATTGCAGAGTCTTTGAGTGCCCCTCATCTCAGCCCTTTATTTTCTCTCAAGCAGGCTGTGAGGGTAATCTTACAGATATTATAGGAAGTTCTTTCTTTTTTCAGCCCTTATAAAAAGGATGCATAATAAAATATATCTAGAAAACCTTTCTATTTGAGACTTGCCTTTTAATGGGCTTTCTTTTCTAATGATAATTGCACCTTTATCTTTCAAAAGCTAATATTTCCTACCTAAAACATCTCCCCCAAAAATATCGCATTAAAAAGCCCACAAAGAATAGGGGAGAAGAAAGACTTAGGTATCAATTCCAAAACAGTGATTGAAGCCTCTAAAATAATTATAGCTTATATCATCTGTATAGATAATCTGGCTTGGCTTACCCCATAATCTAATTTCAGAAAAGAAAGCTTTATTTTAACACTCATCTAAGTCAACATGAAAGGCTTTTCTCTTGACAGGTTTATTGAGAAACTCAAATGAATATACTTTATTGAATTAATGTCATCAAAAGTGTACAGTTTCCTGTGCTTGTGTCAAACTGAATCCACCCTCCAGAGCACTTTCTTTACATATAGGGCTTCATTTAAGCTGTGCTATTTAGAAATAGCATCTCAGACCTTACAATGAAATGACAAAGAAGGCAATTGCACTTTTTAAGGAACACTGACAAGTGGTTTCTGTTTTGTGAAGAACGAAATAAATTGTATGTCTTGTCTTTAATTAGGCTCTTCTCCCTGCTGAGTTGAAAAATCTGTACAGTCCTCATTGACCACAACTGCCAAATTTAAAGCACAAAAGAAGATGTAAAACCTTAGGCCACTTTTGTTGCAATATGATGGAATTTTTATCTTGATGTGTTTTTTTAGATAACTCCAGCAGAAAACTGTAACTTCTATGTCATAGCTACTCATAGGAAAGTATAGAAGAAAGTTATCCTTTATCTCCTACAAGATATCTGAGAAGTTTGGTGGAAAAAAATTTCTCTTTTAAATTTGTCTTTTTATTTTAGCAGATTTATGGAAAATATTAAATATCTTGAATATTTTGTAATTTGTAGGAAAGATACTCATTTATTTTTTTCTTTTTATATAGTAATAAAAAGGTATTTTGGAAGCTTTTTGTGTGCATTATCAATTTGTCCAGGGAAAAGAAGGTAGAGGAATTTGGTCTGAAAGTTTCTTTTCTGTGGGGTTTTTTTTTTTTTGAAGGGGGTAATTTTTTTAGCTGTTATATTGAAAATGCTGTCCGATTTCCCTATCAAGTGTACTCTGAGCACCATACCTTTTACAGTGCTAGAGCTATCAGACAACTGCTTCAAACTGTCACTGTGCTCCCTCTGTTGTGCTTTAGACCCTGAAGTCCCCCAAAACCGTCATGCGTTTAGAGGTGGGGCTTCTGGGAGGTGATCAGAATGTGGCAGTTGCAGTGTTGCAGGCTGGTCACTGGGAAGGTGACCTGCAAGTGTGTATGTCCCTCTCTGGCCCCTCTTTTCTCTCTCTGCTTTTTTGCCACTGTGATGTGAGCTGGGTTCCTCCACCCAGCCATTTACCAGGGACTGTAACTGTGAACCCAAAACCTCTCCTTTAAATTGTGGCTATCAGCTCTTCTGTCCCAGTGATGAGGAAAGTGACTAAGGCTCTTAGTTGGTGTCACTCTGCAGCCTAAAAGGGCACCACAGATATATGCAGCCCACATAGTTATGGTATAAGTTGGAAAGGCATGAAAAGAGAGCCTATCAAAATAATCATTGCTATAAAACTCTGTTTATAGTAAATTTCCCTGGAGAATATATATAATCCATCATGGTTGATTGACTTTGTTTCCCCTCAACCCCCATCCCCCAAAAAGGATCATTAGCACCCAGGTAGTGCCTAAACTCATCCAATCTTAATTTGACCACTCATTTAGGCTTTCTTTGATTTTTTTTTATCTGCTGGAAATGTTCATGGTATTTTATGTAGATATAATAGTAACAGTATAAAAATATGTCTTATTATCCAATACAGCTGTAATATGCACAAGTTGAATTTTTATGTTAAATCACATTTTGTCACAGATTTATTTTATTAATTTCAGGGATACTGTATTTCATTTTAGATTTATATTAATTGGCAAGTGCTTTTTTTTATACTTTATAAATATATACAGTAGAGCATATTACTATGTTATTTCACACATATTACCTCCTTTAATATAATTTGGCATTGTGCTAGACATATCAATATAGTGCCCACCATGCCTCAGCCCCTCCAAGGGATCTCTGTTCTATTAACTATATGTCACCTATGTCTTCTCTGCCACAGCCAACTGGACAGGATGAGAAAGGACATGTCACTCACGTGTAGCCTCTCCAAAGCAGGATAACACACGATGGAGTAGCCCCACACAAAAAGATGGTGGTCCTTTTGCTCCTCTCTGTCCTAAGAACTTGCACTGGGAAATACTTCAAGAATAAGTTGGTGAAAACAGAAGCCAAGAGTGTGAGGAGAACAGAGCCATGAGGGAGAGCCTAGACCAAGAGTCAAGAAACTGTCTGAAAAGGGCCAAGTAGGTTTTGGAAACTGCAACTATTCAACTCTGCCACTGTAGCACAAAGTGGCCACAGACAGGACCTTCATGAATGAGATCAGAATAGCTGTCTTCTGGTAAACTTTGTGTATAAAAATGTGTCTCAGGCCACATTTGGCTCTCAGGTTAAAGTTTGCCAAGCCCTGGTCTAAACCAGGAGAAGGGCCTTTGTAGTTCTTGATAGACAAAAATGAGAGGAATTATAAGTTATACAGGAGGAAGACAGTGATGGTGGAGAGGAAGAATTGGTAGCTCACGACAGGAAACAGTCACTGAGGAACACAAAGCAGATTCTAGTGAAGATCCAGGAAATCCTGTGGAGGGCTCCTTGGGCTGCACATTGGATTCAGCTCCCATACCTTTGGTGACTGCTCTTCTGGGAATACAGGGATTTGGGCGCTAATTCAGTGAGTTAATTACCATTAACCTTGCTTTACAAACAAGGCTTAGAGAGGCAAAGTTTTCTCAAGTCACCCAGCTGGTAAGAAGTAATTCAAATTGTCACCTGGGTCTTCCGACTCTTCAGAACACTTTCTACTGCACCCCAAGCCCATACTAGTGTGTCGCAGCTCAGAAAATGATCACCCTCAGGTACAGCCTCAGAGTAACAGTGGCAGCCCCTTTTTTGAGTCATCCTTTCAGTTCTCCTCCCTCTGCCTGGCTTTTTAATTCTCAAGAGAAGCCTAATCAAATGCAGTTAAATAATCTTTCCTAAGAGTTACATAATCCAGAATATCCAATAACATTCTGATAACTTCAGAAGGTAAGATCTTGCCTTATTCTTTAGTTCTGTGCATCAACAAAGCGTGTGAATCACTGTGCGGTTTACCTTGCAGAAAAGTAGTGTCTTTGTCTTGAGAACCACAGGAATGAGCCCCACAAGGCTGACTGAGGTCTGCTGTGATATGCTGATCATAGAAAAAAAGAATACACACATTATGCTGGACTGGAGACCCATTTAGAACATAGTCTTCTTACCCATCGACCCCTACTTCTACTTTCCCTCCCTATAAAGGCTCTTCTATACTAGGGTACTGGCTCACACCTGTAAGCCCATCACCCTTTTAGGCTGAGGCAGGAGGATCACAATTATGAGCCTAGCATGTGCAACTTAGTGGCTTCGCAAGACCCCACCTCAAAGTAAAAATGACTGAATATAGCTCAGTGCAAAGCCCCCAGTTCCACCATCCTCAGTACGTGGGGTGGGGTGAGGAACTCTTCATGCACCTGATTCCTGCAAGATAAGAGTTTTGAAGATAATAGGGTCAGCCATTGAAGAAATCAGATTTTCTTCCCATCAACTCTCAGCTTTTGATTAGTAAGGAGCCAGACCTAGTGATACCAGAAGCAAACATGTTTTTGTTGCTGTTGTTTTAACAGGAATTGGAGGCTGCTCTTGCCAAAAACATTTCACATGGGTCCACAAATGTCAAATGAGTAACTAAAAGCAGAATTAAAAATGGGTGTCTCTGCCTCTACTTTGCAGCTATATCCTTTGCTCTGAGGCCTTGCATGTGGTAGTCACTGTGGATTCTAGGAACAGCATCTGATTGATGAACTTGTGATGGGTTAAAACTACCAAGTAGGCAACAGCAGCTTTGTTATCATGCCAAGAAGCTCCTTCTCCACCCCCAGGCCTGAGACAGTGATCACTCAGCCTTTTGACCAAGTCTGCTCAATCCTGTAGGCTTCTGGTCCCCTCATCTACATAATCTGGGAGTTCATGTCAGGACCCCAAAGACAAAGCTGGAAGCGTGGGTCCCTGTGTCTTCCTGGTGAAGCCACACTGATCAAAGTTCCTTCCCTGTCTACACCATTACTTTTTTGCTTGATTTCTTTGAAGCAAGCAGCCAGATCTGATGTGTTGGGACCCCCATATCTGGGGTTGTTGAGACCCTTCTATTCTAGGACTCCCATAACAGATTCTCTCTGACACTCTGCCCTGCTGTCTCATCCCAAGGCAAACCATCGAAAGCAGAATGACTTTTCCTTAAGGCAAGCCGTAGCTTATCTCCAAAGCCAGCCATAAAACCTAAAAACGTGACTCTAAACCCCCCCACACTTTTCTGAGTAAGATTTGGCCATGAAGAAGTTTTCTGACACACCTTGTTTTGATTGTAGGTCATAAGACCGCCCCCCATTCCAAGAGTGTTTGGCCCCATACCTGAAAGGAAGAAATGCTGCTGAGAGAGGCCAAAATTATTCTTAAGAGACAGTCTTGCACTACCCCCCTTCCACAAGATCTATTACCAGCAGATCATGCCCTTTTTATCTGAGTGAGATGGGAATTAGCAAGACAGGAGTTAGGATTCTACTAGGCAGTAAAGACAGTGGTCCCCAAATGGGGTCAGCTGAGTCATGACCCTCCAGGGAACCTTACAAAAGCACCTGCCAGGTTTCCTACAGCTGTCTGGGATCTCCCAAGATCAGGCAGGCCATTGGCCCCTGCATGGACACTACAAGAGCATTGCATGGATTAGACAGTAAAAATTGTAGTTTCCTATGGAGTAGAGAGCATATGGTTTGCCCAGTGGCCTGAGCTCCCTTCCAAAACCCTTAAGAACTCATTGGAAAGAGCCTTCATAGGTATCTTGCTCCAGACCCTTTCCTGGCTAGTGTGAGCTTTATTTCCTTGTCTTACTATCTTTTAAATAAATCTGGGCTGATATTCTTAAGT